AAATATAAAAATACAGTGTGTAAAAAAAGTAGGAAGCTTGAAATATGTGGAAAATCTATGGAGTTAATTTCCAAATACTTTGTCACCGTAATTAAGTCTAGCTCTAAAAGAATGTGCTTCAGTTATTCTTTCACATAAAACTGTTGACTTTTACTTGAAGAAGAAAACTACTTTCTACTCACTACATTTTCAAACATGTCAGTACATTTCTCATGTATTTGTAAAGGCATAAGGTAAATAGGTAAGACTTAGCATCAGGTGGTTACCACCTCTGTTCATTTCCTGTCTAAATTAATCTGGCAAGTGATAACATTCTTCATTCCATAGTCAATTTCATAACATGTCTCAGTTGTTTTGAATATATACATGTCCAGTTTGGGTGGGCCTGTGCTCATGATAACCTCAGATTCGTGTTCTTGGCTGACAGGAGTGGAATTTGACGTGGTCTTTGGCTGTTGTAGCCCATCCACCTCAATGTTCGATGTTTTGTGCATGCTGAGATGCTTTTCTGCTCACCATGGTTGTAAAGAGTGTTTATATGAGTTACTATATCCTTCCTGGCAGCTCGAACCGGTCTGGCCATTTTCCTCTGACCTCTCTTATCAACAAGGCGTTTCCACCAACAGAACTGTCGCTCATTCAGTGTTTTTGGTTTTTCATACCATTCTGTGTAAACTCTAGAGACTGTTTTGTGTGAAATTCCCAAGAGATCAGCAGTTTCTGAAATACTCATACCAGCCCTTTTGGTACCAACATCCATGCCACAATCAAAGCCACACTTTTTCTTCATTCTGATGTTTGATGTGAACTGAAGCTTGACCTGTATGTGCCTGATTTTTTTTGCACTGCGCTACTGCCACATGATTGGCTGATTAGATAACTGCATGAATGTGCAGTTGTACAGGTGTTCCTAAAGTGGAGTGAGTGTACATTGTAAAAGTTTTTAATGCTCAGTGTTCAGTCTGACTCTGCTGAATTCAAGGTGCTTTTTAATGTGTGCTTTGCTACTTCTTTTATGGAATAAGACTTTCCCCTTTTTTCACCAAGAAGTCCTTTTCCCATTATAGTTGCATAAAAGCTGTAAGTACATACTCTTGTAATTCCTGGGAAATTAAGACTCAGTGTTGCTATAGGTTATGAAACCCAGGTTACAACCGCTAAAATCAATTTGCAAATCTGATCACAGATTAGATTCCCATCTTATCACAGTTACATAGAATTACTATCGACAGGAAAATAATGCCACAAAAATGCGAGCTTTTTCCCCCCACAGTTGGCACCCAGAGGAACCGAATAAGCTGCAAGTCAAAGTGAGAGTAAGGGAAAAAAAGTGCTGCAGTGTGAAGGTGTGATTTGAATTTGGAGCTGGGGAGAGAATGACAGATGATATATCAGCTAAAATGTCACAGCTTTCTCAGAGTTGTGCTGCCTCCCTTCAGACCTCGGCAGTGGGCGGAGCAAAAAAAAAAATGCAGATAAAATAATTACAACATTGATCTATCTACATAAACATAAATCAAAGTTAACAGCATTTGCTGAGCAGAACGCCCACACAAACAATCTCTCCCACTGTGTTTTGCTGTATACCTTGCAGGCACGGTACAGGTACTTCTGCTCCTGTGTGAGCTTGTACAGGGAGAGGAAAGCGTAGCCATTGCCAGCGGTGCCGTGACAGATGCCATAGCCTTTGCGCAGTAAACCTCTCTGCCAAATCACCTCGCCACACTCTGCAGCATCCTTCAGATACTTCTCGTCCTTAAACACCTGAGAACACACACATACAAACACACAATCAGCTGATCGTCAGCCACAAGCAATTATTTCTGTCGACTACTCTTAATTAAGCCCTAATTTCATTTCACACTTGGTTATTCTCTCACAAATAACACCATGCAAGCTGAGAGGCAGCATATGTTACATGGTAGCAAGCTAACTACTTTATTCTGATCTCTCTTTCATATGTACCCTATCTAAGATGAAAATATAGAGCAGGAGATACAATGTATGATGGCTGCCCTGACCCCTACTGATCATTTACAGTTAAACCAAAATAAAATAGGTACTGTCGCAAAGCAGAAAAGATTTAGATCCCTGATAAGCAAGCCAGAGGTGACAGAGGCAATGAAAATCATCCTGAGACATCATGAGGAAGAAACCTTAAGAGGAACCAGAATCAAACTGGAACTCATCCTCTTCTGGAGTTATAAATCATGACTCTTCTACAGTGATCTCAAACAATCAAACAGCACCAAGTGTGTGGAAAGGTTTTCAATATGAGCATCATATTCTTTATAATTGCAGCAGCATTTCAAACACTATATGGCCAAAAGTATGTGGACACCTGACCTATCACACCCACATGTGCTTGTTGAACTTCCTATTCCAGATTCAACTTTGCTGTTATAATTGCTAGATATTGGAGCATGGCTGTGGGGATTGTTTGGCCATTCAGCCACAAGAGCATTAGTGAAGCCAGGCACTGATGTTAGGTGAGGAGTTCATCCCAAAGGTGTTCAGTGGGGTTGAGTTCAGGGCTCTGTGCAGGACACTCGAGTTCTTCCACTCCAACCTTCACAAACCATGTCTTCATGGAGCTCGCTTTGTGCACAGAAACTTAGTTCCAGTGAAGGGAAACTGTAATGCTACAGCATACAAAGACATTCTATACAATTGTGTGTCCAACTTTGTGGCAACAGTTTGGGGAAGAACCACATATGGGTGTGATGTAAACTGTTAGTAAACTTTTAATACATTATATTGAGAAGCCATGATAAATTACATTTAAATAAAATTAGACAATTACCATAAGATGAAAATTTAATGTAAGAATGTGCCTACATTTTAAGAAGCTTGTGACTGTGTTGGGTGTAAACTTAGTCTCATACGCCTCATACACATCTGACTGGCTTTCAAGTGAATTTATTAGAACTGCAGAGTTAACCATGGTACTGAGGAAATGCAGTTTCCAAATATAGCACATGCTCGATTTCCCCTAACTGCCCTTAGGCATTATCAATTTTGTGAGAGAGAGAAAGAGCGAGGGAGAGAATGAACAAGCAAGCAAATAGCCCATCTGTTCATGAGAAGTGGGAAGGAAAGCCAGGGAAGAGTTTTCATTTATTTTTTTATTTTTTTATTTATTTATTTTTACTGGAGCATATTAGCTGTGATAAAGTCCATTTCAGTTCAAATTCTTCTGCATGCCAGATAAGAGAAATTGTTTTACTCAAGCAACATTAAGCTCACTATGACTGTGACAAATGAGTGTTATTAAAAGGGCATGTATGAGATCATAGAGGCATCGATGCATAGTGCTGGATGCGGCTCACGTTAACCCATAACAAGCCACATATTGTCAAGCTCATTTTCAGTTAGCATAGGAACACCTTGCCTTTACATCTAACCATTGGTTTGTTGGTATAACTATAACATAAATATACTATTAAGTTAAACAATATAGTGCTGTTCATGTGTAACACTTAACCACTAGATGGCACTGTGGGATTCTTAGAGAAAGACAGGAGGTACTGAAATTCAGTGAGCGGTGTTTGGACTTCCTGACCTTGTTATAAAATCTACAGGTTTAATATCTCAGCTTTGGGAACTGAATGTATTATTACATTATCGAGTCTGAATCCTGTTCACTGCTGATCAATCATCTTTGTAATAATCCTTTTTGCATTCATCAGTCATTCTGATTAGCTCCCTGTGCCTATCACTGATATTCATCAGTATGGCCAAAAACATCACTGCTAATCTCGTACACAACCTCTGGGTGAAACAAAAAGACAGTTATAGGGACCTGTAAGTCCAGGCAGGAAGTCTGAAAATTATTATTTTCACAGTTTATCCTTCAATTGTTACAAGTATGAATACAAAATTCATTAAGAGACTCCATTTGAAAGAATTTCAAAACATTTCTAGAAGCTTCCTCTTGCATGTGTGTATCTCTCCAGCATGTGTGTGTATTAAAAAATAAAATACACACTCTGCTCTGGATGTATGTGTGTGTGCGTGTGTGTGTGTGGACTGGGGATCTGCTAGTCACTCACCTTATGTGCCATGATGAGCATGTGAACCACGCCCGGCGCTCCGTGGCACCAGTGCACCAGTCTGTCTGTCTCATTGCTGAGGGATGATGGGTAGTTGCCAGAGCGGAACTTTTTGTGCCGCACATAATCTATACTTGGCCGGACCAACTCAGTCAGAATTTCAGGATTAACCTTAGCCATGGGCTAGAGAGAGACATAAAGAGAGAAACAAATGGGACAAATGATCTCACTTCTAATGAGAAATGGTCTGGAGTGATAAAGCAGGGAACCTTTCAGTGGAAGAGAAAAATCTGTACCATTATCTGTAAGAAAAAGTTCTTACAAGCCAGTCTCATGAAGGAGGAGATGAAATCAGCAGAAGAGAACCAGAACTAATTCCATAACCATTTCCAGCATGTTGCTGTTGGAAACAACAACTCATTTCAAATGAATTATCCAGAGTCGCAGCATAGTGTGCTGGAGGAATATAAAAAAAAAAAATCTTTCTTCCACTGAGGGAACAGGGTCTGATTTTGGAGTACATTTTGTTATTTACTGGATTAGGTATATGTAGAATTTATTAGGGCTGCATTATAATGGCTCATATGTTTAATATTGTTTAATATTGAATCCTAATTCATAAATTCATCTTCAGTAACCACTTTATCCTTGTCAGGGTTACAGTGGATCTGGAGCCTATCCCAAAAACACTGAATGCAGGACAATTCTCTCTGAATGGGACGCCAGGTCATTGCAGGGCACAATGCACACACACACACACCTAGGGGCAACGTTGTGTAGCCAATCCACCTATCTGCATGTTATTGTGGGAGGAAACCCAAGCTCAGGGACCCTGGAGCTACACTAGTGTTAATAGGAACCAATAACCTGTCTAAAGTGACTTTGATCCAAAGCAACTCACAACTGAGACTGGACACAACTGAGCAGTTGAAAGTTAAGGTTCTTGCTCGAGGCACATTCTGGGATTTGAACTCATAACCTTCCGATCAGTAGCCCAAAGCCTTAACCACTGAGCCACCACTTCCACACCCAAAATGCGATTCATTGTGCAGTCCAGTACAAGTACACACAGACATTTGCTGACAGAAAAACAGCTCAGCTGGAACCAAAACCCCAGCTTTTGCCCTCACTCTCCACTCCTGCTGCTTTGCAGAGCTTTTACTGGTTTTGTTCTGCAGGGTTGGAGGGATGTGGAAAAAAGGAACACGCTTGGGTGTGATGCACTGCCTAAGGCTTCCTCTGAGTAAAATGGCATACTGCTGTGCGAGCAGTCGAAGGTGTGAGACGAGCGGTCAGTCTTGCTTGCACAGAGCAGCTGCGCGCAGTCTCACGGCATTGGCAGCACTGTCTCCACACAGACGGCATTGAAAACTGGGCTACCAATGTTGGCACAGCTGCTGCAGGTACCACTGCTGACAGTGCTGCTGGTCACGACGCACACCAATTTCAACATTACTGACACTAATTAGGAACAAATTAAGCACTGTCTACCAGGAATTACAGTAAGCCTCTCAAAAGCATATCAGTGATGCTACAGTACCTAGCCACCATGAACATCTGTTTGTAACACTGCTAATACAGCCACAGCTGCAGTAACATACACAAATATATACAGTGCTCTAAAGGCTGACCGTTTCACCCTGACACTATTATTGTGTTCTGCCATTTGTCAGACATTTGAGCTATACAAGCAAAGAGGCTGAATTCAAGCAAATCTCATACAACACACACACCCTGTACCATCCTGTACCATTACAAAGACAGAACAATGCATTATTATGAGCAGTGGCGCATGTCCATCTGCGTCACCATTACGCACAGCCCTATCGCCTTAGCAACCATGCACGAGCTCCACCCAATCAGCTCACAGGCTCTGTGTGAGGTCCGTGTGTGTGTGTGTGTGTGTGTGAGAGAGTGAGTGTGTGGGTGTTTGTGTGTGTATACCAGCCTTCCTGTACTTTAACTTAGATTTATGGGATGACGTCCAAGCATAACAATTTATGTCTCTTATTAATAATTCATTTCTTGGCTTGGACACCATCCTAAGATGATCCGCTGGGTGTTTCCGAGGTGTTATTTGTGAATAACAGGCATGCTCGGCTTGGGAACGCTACAAGTAGGCTGACTCTATTGATAGCAGCCGACAATTCATAAGCAATCGCAAACGCTGAAGAAGCTGAAATTGTCCCATTAGGACAACAGATCGATAACTGGATGGAAGTGATTGGGGAGGGATGGAGAATAAGAGAGGATGTGGAAGTGGAGAAAAAGAAAAAAAAAAAGTAGCATATTCTTTTAGACTCCTCCTGAAATTGTGCCATCAGGAAAGCTGGTGGTTGCACCTTGTCAATGTGGTGCGCTACAGGAGGCAAAACAGCACAATAACACACACACACACACACATACAAAGCAGACTTCCCCTCTCTCAACTGAATACAGCAGTTCACAGATCATTTAATCACCTCATTATGTTTTCACCTTCCCAAGCGAGACCACACACACGCAGGCATTTCATCTGTCTGTAAGTACAACAGTACATCTCCCAAATCAGCCTGCTGCCACACAGACACACACACAGGTATTTCATCTGTCTATAAGTATACCTCCCAAACCAGCCAGCTGCCATGTGCACACACACACACGCGCACAGTCTCTTGCTGCATCACGCTGATAGATTTTCATTATAGCCCTTGTTTGGCTTTGCAGTGGCAGCTCTGAAAGTGCCATTAGAATAAACTACATTGCTCTAGGGTTTAAATCAGGGTCCTGATAGGGTTTACACGACCAGTCACACACTGGAGGTCAGAGAGCTACACTTACGCATGCATGTCAGAAATCAGACCACATAAGCAAAGGCACAGATATTTTTATTTTTATTCCTAATGTCTCTATGCACACTTAATTAGAAGTCTATGCATATGACAGGAAAAGATGAAACCACAGTTGTATGTTTTTCTTCCACTTTCATGTGTCATACAGTAAATTTGAACTAACTGCAGTAAATAGGAACTAAAGTTTTCAGTGAGGAACTAAAAAAAAAAAAAAAAAAAAAAACAAAACATTGGACTACATGCTCAATAGGAATAACATCTTGTATTTAACGTCTTGTATTAAAGTGTATGGGAAATGCATTGCAGGTCAGCAACTCCTGCATGTTCCTGATTGACCATCATCCATAAAAGCTAATTAATCCATCTAGTAAAAACAGTTCCTACTAACAGTCAGATCACGTTCTCGGTCAGAGTGTGTTGCTGCAGGTCACAGCGTTCAAAAAAACGAGCAGTGTGTGCAAGTTGTACTACCAATAAGAGCTTTATGTTTGAATATGCATATCAAATTCATTTCTTATTTGTAGTTATCTGAGGGTTCAGTAGGTTGCTGATGTGGGAAAAAAAATTCTAAATTTGATATGCATGTAAAAATAAAGCTCTCATTGTTGGCACGATTTGTGCCTACTAGTCTTTTCTTATTACAAATTTTTTTCTTCTAGAAACAAAATTACAGTATATGGCCAAAAGTTTTTGGACACCTGACCATAAAAGCCATATGTGCTTTTTGAACATCCCATGTTATAACAGAAGAGTGGACTGTTATAATACTGTCCACTCTTCTCAGAAGGCTTTTCCTTTCAATTTTGGAGCATGGCTGTGGAGCTTTGATCATTCAGCCATAAGAATATTAGTGAAGTCGGGCACTGATGTTGGGGGCGAGGAGGCCTGGGGTCCAGTCGGCATTCTAATTCATCCCAAAGGTGTTCAGTGGGGTTGAGATCAGGGCTCTGTGCAGGTCTCTCGAGTTATTCTACACCAACCTTCGCAAACCCTCTCTTCATGGAGCTCGCTTTGTGCACAGAGGCATTGTCATGCTGGAACAGGTTTGGGCCTCTTAGTTCAAGTAAAGGGAAAGTGTAATGCTACAGCATACAAAGACATTCTAGACAATTGTATGCTTCCAACTTTGTGGCAACAGTTTGGGGAAGAACCACATATGGGTGTGATGGTCAGGTGTCCACAAACTGTACTTCTGGCCATGTAATGTATGTGCTAATAAAACAACAAAATTGCAAGCTTAAAACGAGTAGAATACATATATAAATATGTTTCGTAATCATTAATACTCAGGTAAATGTGAATATCATCTGTAAATGTGAATTTAAGATATCTTAAAAGTGTCCTGAGATGGACTGGAGTCCCATCCAGGGTGTTTTCCCGTTACACGGCCAGTGTTCCCGGGATAGGCTCCGGATCCACCATGACCCAGGATAGAGTGGTTACTGAATGTGAATGATGTCTTAAAAGTACATAAATTATTCACCAGGATTTTCTAAATAACTGGACAGGTAAGCTAGGTTGAGATCATATTATTTACAAGTAGTGGTCTTAAATTAAAGGAAAAAAAAATAATAAAGGGAATAAGAGTCTGCCCAAAATACTGAATTATGCATAGGATTCTTGATTAAATCTATATGTTTATCACCAACTTGAATAAAGTCTGAACAACATGTAGGCAAGACTGTGCTGGCTGCATCATTTAAACAACTTTTGCCCATGTAAATATGTACTTATGATTATTTATGCAAAAGTGATTATTTATTTATAGCACTGGAGTCTTTCCTGAAGGACACGGAAATGAAATGGTGGTATATGAGTGCATAAGAAGCTTTTATTAGCTGTCTCCTTCCATATGCACATGGGATTGGATCATGCACTGTAACCTGGGACATTAATGTTTAGGGATATTCCAGCATCCAGCCCAGGTCATGATGCTTGATGAAGAACAGAATACAGGACTCAACACAAGCCTTTTACAGATATTCAGCATTACACAGCACAATAAAGCACTAGCATTAGAGAGCTGCAGTATTCTCCTGAGAACAGTAATGCTAGGCAGAGGGAAAGAGAGGTCAATAAAAAGACAAAGAAATAGAAATCACTAAATTTCACATTTAAAAAAGTCACGCATCATCACCCGGGCTTGCTGCTGGAACATCCCTCAAGATTTATGTCCCAAGTTACACTGCATGATCCAACAACTTTAAAAAAGATGACTATGTGCATATGTAAAGAGACAGCTAATAAATGCTGCTTTAACTTTTCATGTGCTCATATACTGCCATTTCATTTTAGTGGCCTTCAGGGAAGACTCCGGTGCTATAAATAAATAATCACTCTGGCATACATAATCATAAATACATATTTACGTTAGCAAAAGTTGGTTACATGGCACAGCCATCACAATCTTCTGCATGCTATATCTTGAACTTATACCAATCAGCCATAACATTAAAACCACTGACAGGTGACGTGAATAACATTGATTATCTCATTACAGTGGCACCTGTCAAGGGGTGGGATATATTAGGCAGCAAGTGAACAATCAGTTCTCGAAGTTGATGTGTTGGAAGCAGGAAAAATGGGCAAGCGTAAGGATCTGAGCGACTTTGACAAGGGCCAAATTGTGATGGCTAGACGACTGGGTCAGAGCATCTCCAAAATGGCAGGTCTTGTGGGGTGTTCCAGGTATGCAGTGGTTAGTAGCTACCAAAAGTGGTCCAGCGACAGGGTCATGGGCGTCCAAGGCTAACTGATGTGCGTGGGGAGTGAAGGCTAGCCTGTCTGGTCCGATCCCACAGAAGAGATACTGTAGCACAAATTGCTGAAAAAGTTAACGCTGGCTATGATAGGAAGGTTTCAGAACACACAGTGCATTGCAGCTGGGGGCTGCGTAGCTGCAGACCGGCCAGAGTGCCCATGCTGACCCCTGTTCACCGCCGAAAGCACCTACAATGGGCACGTGAGCATCAGAACTGGACCATGGAGCAATGGAAGAAGGTGGCCTAGTCTGATGAATCACGTTTAATCACGTTTTCTTTTACATCATGTGGATGGCCGGGTGCATGTGTGTCACTTACCTGGGGAAGAAATGGCACCAGGATGCACTATGGGAAGAAGGCAAATCGGCAGAGGCAGTGTGATGCTCTGGGCAATGTTCTGCAGGGAAACCTTGGGTCCTGGCATTCATGTG